GTGGGGAGAGGTGCTGGTGGGACCCAGCCCTGCAGGCTGGGGTCCATGGCAGTGATTCTCCCTGCAGAAGCTAGTGTAGGGATAGGAATGGGCACATTCCTGGCTCTGTTGCTCTTTCCTGTCCTCTATGCTCAAAGGAGGATCTATAAGAGTCCATGTGGCATGACTGGGCTAATCCCAAAGCATGTCCCCGTAATCCTGGAGCCCAGGAGCTCTATGTCCTTGAGAGAAGGCCTCTGTGTCCCTTCTCTCCTGGGGGGATACGGGATATGCTCTCCAGCCTGAGCTGGCTCTTAGCATGCCATGCACATTGAATGAGAAGCTGTTTTTACAGCTGAGCTTGTCCTCCCCCAGGGGAAGAAGTGAGGAACCCGCAGAGATCCATCCCCATGGGCATCATCCTGTCCCTCCTCATCTGCTTCCTGGCGTACTTCGGGGTGTCCGCTGCCCTCACCCTGATGATGCCCTACTACCTCCTGGACACCATGAGCCCGCTCCCAGTGGCTTTTGAGTACATTGGTTGGAGCAGTGCAAAGCATGCTGTGGCTGTGGGGTCACTGTGTGCCCTGACAACCAGGTGAGGCGAGTCCTCTGATGGCAGCTCTGTGCCTCAGGGCAAGGTTCACTGGAGCTGTAACACATCCAGAAGCTATTCCCAGTCCCTTCCCACTGCCCTGCTTGGCCAAAATCCCTCAGCCATTCCTCACAAGTCCTGTTGCTCTCATTCTGGTCCTTCCTCACCACCATTATACCCCTTGCCATGCTGCTTTTAGCCCCAAAGGAAGTGGTTAGGTGTTTGGTGGCATCGTGGCTGCAGGAGCAGGCTGGGGTGTCTTGGTGGGCACAGGTCTCCCCATGACCTGCGGGCATCACTGCCCTGATACTGTTCCTCATGTGATGGGGAGGCAGGTTATGGATTTGTCAGCGTGTTCTTGAGAAGGTCATGGCCACACAGATGAACCGGGGCTCCCTTTCCACACAAGAAGGAACAAAAGGCAGGTTGGAATCTCCTAGATTCCTGCTCTCTTCTCCTCTTTTCTCTGCAGTCTCTTGGGCTCCATGTTCCCCATGCCACGGATCCTGTATGCGATGGCTCGAGATGGGCTCCTCTTCAAACCTCTGGCCAAAGTGAGTCGCCGTCAGTGCCCAGTGGTGGCAACGCTGGTGTCTGGAGCAGTGGCAGGTGAGTGATTGCGTTACCCCTTACCTATGAGCAGGGCTTGGTGGATGTTCTCTTCCAGCAGGACAACACAGGCTCCCCCTAGCTTGCTGATAGCTGTTGGTGCAATACCTCTATACACAAGAGAGAGCTCTCCTCACTGTGGGTGAGGATATTTGGCCTTGGATTCAGCCTCTCTGAGCTACCATGCAGGAGGTGGCAGGATGCTTTGCACCAGTGACCAAAGCATCACCAGCTCATCGAGGTGCTTGAGTTGCAGCGGGTGTTCGGGGATATGGGAGGGCAGAGGGCACAGATGAGATGGGCACAGCAGCAGTGCTGACAGCTCTGCTGGGAGACTGAAAAGGGCTTTGCATTCCCTCAGCGCTCCTGGCCCTCCTCTTTGACCTGAAAGCCCTGGTTGACATGATGTCCATCGGCACACTGCTGGCTTACTCTCTGGTGGCTGGCTGTGTACTGCTGCTCAGGTGAGTGCTGGGGACAGGGCTCACCCAACCTCTGATGTTGGCTATACCTGGGACATCCAACATTGCTCCTCAGATATCGGCCTGGATCCAGCACTAAGGGCACTCCTGCAGGGAAGCTCCTGGCTGTGCAGCTCTGGTGGGACCATCTTGTCCATCCACCCTCGCATCCCACCCCCTGTTCCTCCTCTGCAGTGGCCTGGGCTCTGACAGCCATAGGTACGCCCGGGAGAGACCGATGGGGTTTATGGGGAGGCAGCACGGGATAACCACAGGGCATTGCTGCTTGCTGTAAACCATCCCGCAGCAGGATCTGCCTGGCTCCCTCCTGCCCTCTCCTGACTGCAGCACAACTGCTGCTCCAATGGGACCTTTGGAAACCTGCTCCCTCCTGGAGGAAAAAGCTAAACCCACCATGGCAGAGCTCCCAGCCCCGTCCCCTGGTTGTCCTTTGTCCCTCCCACCACGGCAGCATGGGTGAGGGATGGGATCGGCATGGGGAAGCGTTGTCCTCACACTGCTGTGGTCCCTCTGCAGCCACCCTGGTGTGTGCTGTGAGCTGGATGAGCACCACGGGGCTGCAGTGCCTCTGTGCCGGGGGTGCCTGGTGCATCACTGCCCTGGCTCTGCCTCTCCTGGGGATCCTGGTGGCAGCTCTGCTCATCTGGAGGCAGCCTCAGAGCCCGGAGAGAGCATCCTTCATGGTGAGCACACAGCCTGGCTTCAGGGACTGTGCCCAGGGAGAGGGACCTGGGGGATGGAGAGCAGGGAAGTGCCACAGCCCCCTGGGGAAAGGGTGTCATTGCATGTGGGGTGTGTGTTCTCTCTGCTTTGGGTCAGGCAGACCCCCACTACATCCACAATGTGCTGTATTGGTCTTGGGGTTTTGCATAGGGACCGTGCCTGGTTCTTCCCCATCATGTTCCACAGGCCAAAGGGGCACCTCCTGCAGCCCCGAGTCCACTGCCTGTTGCACAAATCAGAGCTGCTCCTCAGTAAAAGGATGCCTGGTCTTGACCCCCTGGGTTGGTTTTGCCCGTGTTTTACTGCCTCCCCCCTGAAATCCTGCAGTACCTCCTGTCCCATCAACCAAACCCTCCAGAGCATCCCTCTCCAGCACAGGCTGTGGTCCCAGCTCAGATCTCTGAGCCTCACACCTTCCTCTCACCTCTTGGCAGCTACCTAAAGCTGCAAAGAACTGAACTTGACTGTGGAACCTCTGGTCCATCTGGGTGATGTCATGACCCCATTCCCTTGTGCTTGGTCCCTGCAGGTCCCCTGCCTACCCTTCCTGCCCCTTCTCAGCATCACCATCAACAGCATCCTTATGGCCCGGCTCAGTGTGGGTGCCTGGCTGCGGTACCTGCTCTGGATGGCCATTGGTAAGCCTGGATGCCCTCCACATCCCAGGGCTGGTAGCAACCTCTTTTGGTGAAGCCTTGGTTTGAGAGCCAGTGGCACTAATGCTGCCTAATGTACAGTGGTGGAGGGAGGATGGAGATGCTGAACTTTGACATCAAAGGGTGGTGGGAACACTCGGCCCTCTGATATGGGGCCCAAAGGGAAGGGGTGATTACACTGTGTTTGGGAGGGGAGGGAAGAGAGAGTCTCCCCACCCTGTTCTGCCCATTCCCAGGCTTCCTTATTTACTTTGGCTACGGGATCCGGCACAGCGCTGCGAGCCACCAGCCTGAAGGGGCAGCTCCCTGGGAGGCAATGGGAAACACGGCCAGGGAAGTGACCTTGGAGCCCTGCGGGACTGTGCGGTGCCCGTCTGCTCCAGGGCAATAAGAGGGGAGAGCTGGTCCCAGAGTGCCCGGCTCCCTCCACCCTGTGCCCGGGGGAAAGAGAGATCCTTTGGGCTCAAGGTCGCATCCTGCAGAGCCTGGTGAACGTCCCTGGGCACCCTGAATCCTCATGGCGAGCCCGCCGCTGAAGGAGGTTTGCAGAGGATAAAGCAAACAAGCCTTTGCTGCTGTTACTGTGTTGTGGGTTGACTTTTTGTGCCTTTGGAACTTCTCCCTTCAGCCTCCCCATTGCCCTCTGCCCCTTGCACACCCTGACCCCTCAGCTGCTCACAGCAAAGCAGGAGGCTTCTAAGTGCTGCCCTGATCTGCCTGTCTCTCCATGAATGCCAAGGGTCAGCTTTTTCCCTTATGGTGGGCAAGTCCCTTTCTGGGCTCATTTATTCCTCCTCCTCAGTTCCCAGCACTCCCCTTTCCCAGAGCCAGGCACATTCCTCCAGGTCCCACGCAGCATCTGCCTTGGGGGCACTGGGACGTGGTACCAGGTGCCCAGAGCAGGGTGCCAGACCCACCAGCCTCGTCTCCCTTTGCCAAGAGATCCTGCGCCCTTCAATCACAGCTAGGCTGGGTTTGCTGCTGCGTTTCCCATGCTTTGATGCTACAGCACCTGCTGCATCCCTGAGGATGCTGTGCAAAGATGGAGCCATCCATCCATCCCCATAGCCATGGGGGTGCCGGGGGCAGTGGGTGCCCTGGGGGGGGGACATGACTCTGACACAGCAGGCACCCTCATTTCCTACTGTTGATGGTTAGGGTAAGAGCTAGACCCCACATCCCTGCTGCCTTTCTGGCTGCCTTGTTCAGCTGCTGTGTTCCCGGTATGGATCAGCACAAAGGACGGAAGCAGCAGTTGCTGGGCCCTGCCAGCTTGGCAGGAATGGGAGGGTTGGGGTCTGCTCTGTGCAGGAGCCCATTGACATGAATGAAATGAGGGAAGGAGCAGGAAAAGGGGGACCAACAGTAGAGGCTTCCTTGTTGTGGTTTTGTGGTGCCTGCTCCCACCCCTCCCCATGTTCCCCTTAGCCCTGCCGCAAGCTGCTCCTGCACCATCCCCAAACCCACCAACATGGGATTCTGAGGCTGCTGCTTCTTACAGACTTGTAATTGTTACAGCCAGTGGCACATTGGCCTGATGCGCGTCCACACACACAAACACCCCAGGGCTCAGCAGCCCTGGGGAGGGGACAGGCCAGTGACAGCCCCCAGAGCAGTGACCATCTCACCGTGCTCATGCACCCAGTGGAAAGTGCTTGTGTGCATCCAGCCCTGCTGGCAGCATTTTCCCAATGGGGATGTGCTGGCTTGGAGCAGGGAGGGATGTGACCCGCTGAAGCCTGCTCCTCCTTGGGAGGATGCTCTGCTCCCCAGATGTGCACCTCTGGGCATGCAGCCTCTGCCCAGCTTTGGGGGAAAGGATGGCACTGGTGGTGCTGCTGATGTGTAGTGGGGACAGGAGGTCTTGGTGTCTGTGTGGCAGTGAGTGGGGGAAGGCCTGGGATGGAGGAGTGATCCCTGGGAGCTGTTTGCTGGAGTTGGAGGAGGTGATGGGGAGGGGAGGAAGGTATGGTCTATAGCAGGGGCAGTGCTGGAGGTGGCAGATATACCCAGCTGCACCCATTCTGTGGCTCAGATCTGGGCTTGGCCACCTCCTTTCCCAGGAGTGAGGTACATTACCACCACCATATCCCGGTGCTCTCCTCAGCTTCCCTGTGCTCATCCCCATCCCAGTGACCGCCTCATCTTCCTCCTCATGCCCCCAAGCAGCACTGATGCTGATCATGCTCAGAGGCAAGCGCTGGGTTGGATCCAGCCCAATCTGTGTGTGCTGGCTGACCCCTTCTACCCCTAGAAAGCCTCCCACCAGAGGAAGGGGTGCAGGGATGGTGCAGTGGGGTTGCCAGGGTGCCTCGAATGGGCTGGGGAAAGGCAGGCGCAAGCGTCCTGTGAAATGCTCCATTGCCCTTGGTTGGATGGGGCCAGCCCGGGGGCCTGCCCCGGCAGTGGGGCACTTGTGAGAGCAGCCCTGGGCTCTGGCACCCAGAAGGAAGCCCTGATACCCCCGGCACTGTGCTACGTGGCGATGAGGGGCACCTCGCCGGCAGCGATGGGGAACGGGGAGCCGTCCCCTCCGTTGAGCACGCGGTACAGCAGCTCCTCCTTCTCGCGGTGCGCCTGCTCCCGTAGCTGTGCCTCCTTCTCCAGTGCTCCACGAGCAGCCAGGAGCTCCTCTGAGAGCTGCCTGTGGGGAAACAGCATCTGTGAATGGCACCGTGGGCTCTGATGTATTCCCGATGTATTCCCTGTCCCCGGTGCCACCGGGGTGCATGGAACCAGCACTTACCTTGCCATGACCAAGTGATTCTGGGTGCGAACTTGCAGGTCCTCATTCTCCTGCTGCAGAGTCTTCACCTTCTCCTCCAGCAGAAGGTTCTTCTCTGCCTGGAAGTGGGCATGAGGATGAGGAGGGAGGCAGAAAGTGATGGCATTGCAGCCGCATCCCCTCCCTGCTCAAAGAGAGGAACCAGGCTCCATCCACCTCCTCTTTAGCTGCACCTTCTGGATGGGATTCAGGTGGAAAGAGAAGATGGAAAGAGCAAAGCCCACTTGTGACCCCCCCTTCCTTTCAACCCACCACGGTCTCCAGGTTCAGCAGCTTCTTGTCCAGCCCATGGATGTGCTCATTCTTCATCTCGATGACAAAGTGCAGGCTCTCCAGCTCCTGCTCCCAGAAGGGGCTGGGGCTCCCGTGTTCCTACAGAACACAGGGCATGGGCAGCTATAGGGTGGGTACTGGGGTATCTGCCATGGTTCATCCCACACACATGACTCCATGTTTCACCCATCACTTGTGTTCAAGAGACCCCAACAGCCCACGCACCTCCCAGGGATGGGGCTTTTCTCCCCACTTCAGCTGCCCTGTGCCCCCCCATCTCAGGGTCCATCCAAGAAGCTTTGGACCAGCACCCCAGAGGCAGGTCCCCTCCCTGCCAGCCCTCTCTGCACCTCAATGTGCTTCTTGTAGTCTGTGCTCATAAGGGACTCCTCCACCCGCTTCATCCTGTCCTGGAAGGACTTCAGCTGGGAATTCAGTGCCTGGATCGTCTCCTAGGGCAGCCAGGGAAGAATCAGGGTGGGAGACATCTGTGATTCCTTCCTGAGCAGAGCTGGGCTGTGGCACCCCCATAGCCCCAGGGCTGGAGAAGTCTGCATGGTCCCCAGGACCAAGGTGACCACTGAAGAGCTTGGGGCACCATGGCAGAGCCAGCAGACAGTCCTCAAGCCCTCCCCAGGGACTTCCCCTCAGGTACCTGTAAGGCTGCCTGGGACCTGTGGTGGGATTCTGCCAGCAGCAGCTTCTCCTGCTCATGTGCTCTCTGGAGCTCTGCAGGGGGAACATGAACCAAGTGTCACTGGTGTGGGGACACCAGGGCAAGGAGCCCCAAGGAGCCATGGAGCTGGGGGGGGAACCACAGTACTGGGGTGAGCCCTGCTGTCCCAGCACGCACCTTGCAGGGTCTCCATGTGCTCTCTCCTCAAGGCATCAAACTGCTCCTTCAGCTCCAGGTCTTTTCCCTTTTCCACCTGGGAAGCAGGGAGATGACAAACCCCACCTGTATGACCTGATGTGAAGGATGCTGTGGCCCTCCCAGCCGCCTGTGCCTCATTGCTAGACCAGCACCATTCCAGGCCTCCTAACTCCTTCCTATCCCCTTCCTTCTCCCCATAACAGGAGAGCTCAACCCAACACATTCCTGGTCCATGACTGATGCCTGGAAAGTCCTGGTTGGCCACATGCTCCCTGTTCAACTGCCGTCCCCAGCAGCACCCACGTTTGACTGACCTGGATGTCACCATCCTGGGTGATTCCTTTGGTGTCTTCCCATCTGGCATCCTGCAGCCGCTCCTCCTCATCCTCCTCCTGACCTTGGAGGAGTCTTGTACTCTCTGGCACTGCTGCCTTCTCCTTCCCATCCTCAGGCAAGAGGGTGGCATTGGCTGCAATGCAAATGTGGCTGGAACGGTGCCGGCTGCATCCTGCCTCAATGTCCTGGCCTGGGTTCAGCCCCTGTCCTCTTCCCACTGGACACATACCTGTCCCCATCTCACTGGTGAAAACTAGGACTAATTGGGATGATGTTGACAGGTTGAGAGAGGACACAGCTCATTAGGTGACAATCTGGCTGTCTGAGAGGATGGGATGCCTCATCTCTGGGATGCCATCGTATCTGCCCACTTGCACCAGTGCCACGTGGAGGCTGCAGCCACCATCCCCATCCTCCCCAGTGCAGCCTGGCCACCCTGTGGTCCATCCTAATGCTTCATTAATATCACAATATGAAAGCACAGCAGGGGGAAGAAGGCACACATCTTCTCACCGTGCTCTGTCTTCACGGCCGTGAGCTCCTGGGATGCTGGTCCCCTCTGCTGCTGGGCTTTTAGCTGTCTCTAAGAGAGAGAAGGGGCTGGAGCAAGAGGGACAAAGCAGGGCACAGGACACCCTGCAGCAGGCACCTTGTGCTGGGCATGCTTAGCTTAAGCCCTCCTAAAACACGGGTGCTCAAGCAGCAGTGGTCCCTCCCTGCCCTCTGACAGCCCCCAGAATCCATGGATGCCTGGCAGGCAGCCCCAAGCTGTTTCCCTTCATCCCAGATGCTTTCCAACCCGGCATAGCCAGCCACTGGCTGGAAAACCCAAAGGATGCTCACAACCCCCCTGACATGGTGCTGATGCAAAATAGGGTCCAGCAGCAAAACATTTGGTGGGGAAGAGCAGGCAGCACTTGGCCTGGCTGTGACTGTGGTACTTCCTTGCCACCTTCCTCCTGCCCTGACCCTGCTGCCTTGGGATGCTCAGGGTCAGCCTGGTCCCTGGCATCCCAAACAGGCCGATGCTTTACACAGCCGGGCTTTGGCCCAGGAGTGAGACACGAAAACACCATAAACCAGAGGCACTGCGGGCCCTGTGCAGGGCTGGCAGCGGCACAGGCAATGACCTCAGGAGCACAGGAATGTGCTGCTCGGCCCCGCGGGCTCCCGCACGCTCCCACTGCTGCCGGGGGCTGATAGAACCCAGAGCCGGGAGCTGCCTTCAGCAGCGCAGCTCTGTGGGATGCCTTCCAGCCCTGCACGGGCTTAATTTAGTCACTTGGAGGGGAGGAGGAGAAGAAGAAAAGAGACGTGGATGTATTTTTATGTGTTACTGGAAGATAGAAGCAAATCTCGCCTGCTCTTGCAGCTCAGCCTCCCCAGTGCAGGGTAGATCTTGCCCCTGATGCCACCCCTTGGGTCGTGCTTCTAGGTCGGGGTGCGAATGCATTGTGGACACAGAACACACCTGCAGACATGATGCTGCTCTCCAGCACCCAACAAAGCAGCCTCTAAGAACACCGGTCCCTAACAAAACCAGCCCTGCAGCCTTCAGGAGCTTGGATCAATACAGATCAGATTGGGAGCCTGGTTTGGGGAAACAGCGGGGCAAAGCAAACAGGTCCCTGCCTCTGCCTCCCCTGCAGCTCCCCTCCTGAAGCCGGAGGGAAGCGCAGTTGCCAGAGAGGGTCAGGAAGACTCCGAGCCTCTGGGAAGCCACAGCTTTATCTTCCCTTCTATGGCGTGAGCGCTGCGGTGTTGAACACAGCCCAGGCAGTGGGATAAGGAGGCACCAGATAGTCGGGATTCATAGGGCTTGTTCTCACTCCCGACACAACTTGCCCTGCAAACATGGGTCACCCCAGGATGCTGCTGAGCTGCAGGGTCCCCATCCTCCTCCCTCACCCGTCTCATGCTAATGTGCACGCCCCTGCTATTTCATATACCCCGTGTCCCATGCTGGGTTTTAGGGTCTGGAAAGTGTGGATGGGGCAGTCGTGGCTCTGCAAGCCTGAGAGCATCACAGCAGCCTCAAACACCTCACAGGTTTTACTGATAGAAAGCACAAGCTGTGCCAGGGGTCTGTCCATGGGGTGGACATGGAGACACCCTTCCTACCTCTAGGAGCTACTGCAGTAGTGTCCTGAGCTAATTTCACTCCTGAGCACTCAATTGTCCTTCGGGATGAGAGCTCCAAAGCCAGGTGAAAAGCAAAATATGGCTGTAAACTGAAATACAGCCGCACCTTTCACTGCCACCTCCAGAGCAGCACATGGCACCCACACCTCTGGTGTCACCGGTGCATTGTGGAGAGCTGGAAGCCAGTCCCAGTACCCACTATGAAAGGAGCAGGTTGGGAGTTGCTCCATCTGGAATGGCTTTGGCCCAGGGAAGAAGCAGTCTGGAACATCCCTCAGGTGCAGGGCACCGGCAGCACTGCTTATGCTGTAAAGTCTCAGCATTGAAACCTCTGGCTTTGGGGAGGCTCATGAAAAGAAATACCTTCCAGCTATAAAAAAAAGTGCCCACATTCTTAGAACTAAACATTTCTAATGGTGTGGAGCAGAGCTGTTTATGGGTGGATTAACTGGGATTTCCAGCGCACCTGAGGCATCCCAAAAGATACCAGTGGTGGGGAGGACCCGCACAGAGGCAGCTGCAGCCTCTGCTTCAGCTTTCAGCATGAGGTGGGGTTTTGCACTGTATTTTTCTTCCTCCTTTCCTGTTTTACAAGTGTGTTAAGCAATGAAACCCTGCAACAACAAACGAAATCACACAGAGGCAGGAAATGAGCATTTAAATCCCGACTCTGCTCCTGGGCTCCAGGTTCTGCTTTGTGGCCCTGGAGAAGGGGGCCAGGATTTGGCCTGTGACCCTATAGAACCTCCCCAGGACCTGCAGCAGATGCTCAGTGCTGTCACAGCAACGCTGGCTCAGGTCTGTGGGACCTGCCTTTGACTCTGCTGCTGTTTTTCCTCTATTGAGGTTGTGTTACGAGATGACCATCACCTCTCGTACAGTCAGATCTGTGCCGCAGACCGTATACAAAGCCTTCATGCCATTGACAGCCCTGAGTTTTGCATCCTGACCTTTCCCTGGCTCCTGCTGCTACATATAGTTCCTATACCTCCAAAATAAATTCACCCCAGCACTGGAAGGTGGCCAAAGCTCAGCCCCAATCCTTTGGGAAGGAGTCTCAGCCTCTCTCACGCTGGGAGCATGACTGAAGGGCAAGTGGTGGTGCTGGGTGGCCAAGTGTGGATGGAGATGGAGGGAAGGGGACCTGCAGGGACAGTGCCTGCAGCTTGGAGCCAGGCTTTGTCCATGGCATCTTCTCCTGTGCCTCCTTATCGCCCTGCAGACCAGTGATGGGAAGGATGAGGCTGCCAAGCCGCCTCCCCCAGGGCATGTAGAAGTGCCTGGTATGAAATCCACCACCAGATCCAGCTCAGCATGGGCTCCCCAAGGTCACCTCCAATATGGGACTTGCCCCAAAGCCTCTGCAGCCCCCAGCCCCATGATGTCTTTTCCTAGTTGTGCTCATTATCCATGGTGCAAACTGGACTACCCATGGCAGGGGGTTGGAACTGGATGGTCTTAAGGTCCTTTCCAACCCAAATCATTCTATGATTCTATGCCCACCCAGGTCTGCCTGGGTTTGACAGCTCCCCATCCCCAAACAGCCCCATGGGACCACCTCTGCAAGTCCGCCCATCAGCAGTGGGAGGATGAAAGTCTCCCACCTGCCTTTTGGTACCCAGGATGTGAGGACATGTGCAGGAGCAGCTCGATGCCTGCCCTCACCCCTTGCTGCCATAAAGGAGATTTTCAGTGCTGCTTTCAGGATTAACTTGTGACTTAGTCACAGCATCAGGGCTGTTTTATGGGGCACAAACTGCAGTGAGCAGTGCCTCAAGGCACAGCACAGGAGCTGGGGAGCCAGCGAGGGCAGGAAGGGAGGTGTCTGCGGGCAAGTGACTGACTTCAATTTCCTCCTTTCAGTTCTCAGCACCTGCAGCTTCGGGGCTGCTGTTTTCTGCCTGCACCATGCCCCTTCTCACAGTCACAAACCAGCCCACAAGTGTCTGATCCCATGACAGAGAGAACAGTGTTTGGGGTTTGTTTTTAATTTCTATGCTATGGAGAAGCAGCCAAGGCTGCAAGTGCTGTAAATAAAGACACTTGCTGGCTGCAGGGCTGTGCAAGCTCCACTCCTGCTCCCCCACACATCCCAGCAGTGGGTTGTGCTTTAGACACATGGTCCCGGGCAGCCGAGCTCTTGCAGCTGCCTCTGCAAAGGGCTGTCCATGTAGGGGGGAACACCAGCACTATGGGGCCTTTCCAGCTTTCCTCCTGCCCCTGCCACCCTCCAGCCGCCACTGACACCAGTTACACACAGCACAACCTCTCAAATACCTCCCAAGGCATATGGCAAAGTGAGAATGCATCAAAAAAGTGCAATAATAAGCAGCGGATAATTTCTAGACCTTAAATCACAAGAGGTCTTCAGTGCAGAGCAATGCACTGATATCTGCTGGGGACTCAGCGTCCCCCTGAAGAAGTGTTGCCTTCAGCACAAAGGGGGACCCAGCATGAGAGGGGGGACAACTTTTGGGGCAAGGGAGGATGCTGTGGGAGAGTGGCAGAGGATGGGGGAACCCATCCCTCTCCTATATGGGACCAGCATTTCCAACAGGCACTGTCACCCCAGTTTAGCGTGGGTGATGTGGGGCGTACAGCCCAGAGGGGTGCAGCACAGGTGGCTGCAACTCCCACTGTACCCGGTGGGATACTCACAGCCCGTTATAACCGAGCCACCCACCCACACCCCCCCGCACACCTCCCACCCGCAGCAGTGCAAGCGGGGCTCCACGCACCCCCATCCCCACGCGAACCCCAGCTCCACGCAAAGCCCCGACCCCTCGCAAGCCCCCACCCTAGGCAAAGCCCACCCCAAGCCCAGCCCCGCAGCCGCTACCTGGCCGCCGACGGGGCAGCAGCGCAGGGCGCTGCCGGTGCAGCCCATGGGGCTCAGCCGCGGGGCGCGGAGCGCAGCATCCCCGGGAGAGCGGATTCCGCTGCCCGGCGGGACCGGACGGGACGGACGGGACGGGACGGGACGAGACGGGACGGGACGGGACGAGCCGCCCCAGCTGGCAGGCAGGAAAAAAAATACAGAATAAATAAATAATTAATAATAATAAAAAAGTCTCCGCAGCTGCTCGCAGGCAGCGCCGGGAGAGGGTGCTCTGCACCCCCGAGCCAAGGGCAGGGCCCCCGGAGGCAGCCCGCCCGCCCCCGGGGCTGGCCACGGGCATCCGGCGGGGTGCTCCGGTTCTCCGAGCCCTCCAATCCTCGGGGTGCTTCGTTCCAAGGTGGAAGGATCCCCCGACCTGCGGGTTGGTGTGTCCATGGGGTCACCTGCACTGAGGATGCTCCATTTGGGGTAAGGAAAAAGGAGAGCAGGACCTTGCGCTGGGGCTGGGGTTCAGCTGGAGCAGGGCGGCCTCATGGTGCTTCCTTGGTGAACCCACACCAGCCACCTGGGAGAGCGGCAAAGGTAGGGTCCATCCTGGCTTTTGCCATCACCCCATGAGGTTTCAGCTTGTCCTGGGGTGGTTGTGTACAAGTGGTGGCTTTGGGGTGCTTTATTCTGGGAGCAGATCTGCTATGGGGGTAGCTGTGCTGGCTGGAGGGGGCTTTCAGTGTGGGCCATACTGCCTGGGGGGCTGCATCCTGCCTAACCCCCTCTTGAGCATCCCAAACACCCCACATACTGCGCCTGGAGCCAGGGTGCCCTTTTCCAGGAGGAAACCTTGCACTTTGGAAATGCGTCCTGGAGAGGTAGGAAAACACATGGATTTGAAAGTGTCCTGTCTAGAACTTAACGGGAGGAAAGGCAGGCTCCTCCAAATGTTTTGGTTCTGGGGATATTCTTTAAATACAGTGAAAGAACAGACATTTCTAAACGAACACACATCCTGACCTGAAATAAAGACTGCTGCCACCCAGCACTGCTGAAACAGGAGTGTTTCACCCCAGTCACGAGGCTGTGCCCGTATGGAAACACTGCCAGTTTTTGTCAACAAGTTTCTATTCTGACATTTTCCACATATCCCCTGGGATTAGTCCAAGCAGCCTGCGGGCCCAGGGGCTGCCAGCACGGCTGGTGCTTCACCACTGCTCCTCCTGCCCACACAGCAAGGGAGAGGAGGTGTGCGACATCCCCATCACGTGTGATGTGGAGGTGTTCTTTCTGCCCTGGTAACCCTGGGACTGGAGTGGGTAAGTTGTGAAACATCACTTGGGATGTCTCACCCTTAGGATAGGAGGGTGGGGAAGGTGAGGGGCAGGCCCCAAGCCTCCTGGGGACTGGTGGGACCAGTTGGCTTCATGCTTTTGGGTAGGTGCTGCTTAACCCGGGTGAAGTTTGGTGAGTCACAGCAGCTTCCTGGCATCGGCTCCCCCTCCTCAGAAACCACCACAAGTGTCTCTGTTCTTATCTCTCCCAGCACTTCATACATGGGGCAAGTCTCCTTCCCTGCCTGAGAGTACTTATTTGGGCTGAGTAGATGGTTTGTGGGATAAAAAGCTCAGCAAGGTGCTGGTCTCCACCTCTTCAGGGGTAATGAAAAATCCTGGTCCAGACTTGGGAGCTGAAGGCGTGCAGGGGCAGGCACAAAGCACATGCGTATTCCAGGCTGAATTTGCATCGCTGGGGCCACGGCTGCGAACAGAAGCAACTGTGTGGGCAGCTGAGGAGGAGCCTGCCCAGCTGCCATCACATCCTGCTGGTGCACCAAGGCGCAGCAGCTTGCACTTGTGCGCGTGGTCATTTCTGGTTCTAACTGTGGGGCACCAATGGGGTGCACTGGAATGCGCAAAGCAGGGCTCTGGGTAGGGTTTCTCTTGCTAATGGTGGAGAAAAAGCAGTGGGTTTGGTCACATTAGGCTGAGGCATGAAGCCAGCAAGGCAGAGATGGAGCTTGGGGATGTGCAGTGAGCACAGCCTCATCCCTAAGTGCCACATACCCTGTGCTGCCGCTGCAGGCTCTGTTTTGCTGTGCTCACCATGGCAGCTCCAACCCTACATTTATATAAATCACTAACTTTTGGAGAAGAGGCCACACCAAATGACATTACATGCTTCCTTCAGCCCACAGGAGCATCTGTGTGGCTGCCTGCCTGAGGCCATGCCTGTGCTGCCCCAAAACTCCCTTATTTTAGCTTGATTTTAGCAATTCCTCAGTTTCTCCCATCTTTTCTATGCAGGCTGCATGGGATGTGTCCTTGCTGCTGAGATCTCCCACCTCAGCCCTGCTTCATCTTCTTCTGCCCCAATACACTGATAACTTGCACCAGGGCAGCACTTAAACAGCCAGAAACTTTTGTGTCCAGCTGCTTTGGAGCAGAGCAGGGGCTTTCCAGGGCATTGAAGGGGTGGGATTCATAGCTTCAACAACTCATCCCCTTCTCCCTAACCAGAAGAGCCTGGAGATCGGGGGAGCGCCTGGGGCTGAGGAGTCTTGCAGAGGGCTGGAGGTGATGGGACCATGACAGCGAGGGGATTTCTCCCCATTCAAAGACAAGGAAGCAGAAGCAGCTTGTGGCAGCCCCACCTGGGGCAGCTTTGTCTTGTTCTGAAGTTTGCCCTGATGTCTTTGTTGGTGTTATCACCATCTCTCTCAAGGAGAGACAGCTGGCTGGAGCCATCTCAAGGGCTTTGTCTGGAGAAGGGAGCTTAGGAGCCTTTATCTCACGCTCAGCTGAATTGCCGTAAATGGGATAACAGCTGGCCAAGCGTGGAGTTAATTTGTACCAATGGTCATTTAAAGTGTTTGCCAAAGCTCATGGATAAGAGAAGTATTTATGCAAGCTGTTAAAGCGTCTCCTTTCTCTCTCCAGTTCCAGCTGGTAAGGACTGGGTGGGATAGGGTGGGTACAAGGCAGTGCTGGTGCCAGCACATGGGATATCCAAGTGGGACCCTGCTTGGTCTCTGTGGTCCCATGAGCGCAATGGGACCATTCATTTTAAATTTTGTTTCTTTCATTATTTAACCCAAACTGGGGAAAAAAAAAGGGGGAGAAGATTTTGCTGGGAGGTTTTCAGGTGATACTCTGGCTGGTGGTGATGCGGAGCTAAGGCAGAAAGAGAAGGTGGTCTGTGGTTGTAATCCTTCACCCCGCTCATTGTTTGCAATCTGTTTGCTTTTGTCAAATAGAACTCACAAAGTCATCAACTCATCTGTGATTGCTGCTTCCCTTCAATGCGAATGGAAGATGTTGAGCCAGATCTGCTGAGACCTCATGACTGGGGCTTTGCATGCAAGAGACAGCTCAGAGAACTGTTTGAACTGCAGAGGATCTTGCATGTGTTGGAAAAAGAGACATCACAGACTCTTCTGGTGGGGACCTAGGTCACACATGCTTCTGCCTTGAGGTAGAGCAGCCATTTCAAGTCATTCCTGCGCCTGCCTGTGTTTTTCCAGGCACTAAGGTGTGGGTTAACCTGTCTTTACAGTCCTTTATTCTTCTTTTTCCTACCACAGCAAAATGGAGGGGGGAAGGATGGGAATGTGGGAGTGAAACCTTCACCCACACTGGTTGTGAGAAGAAGGAAAGCATGTGATGCTGGGGGCTGGAGGCAAGGGGCTCTTCTGCCCTTCTGCCTCCAAACATGATGCTCTGGCCATGCCCATGCCTCTCCCCTATCCCCGTCCCTGTCCCCCGGCTGCTCTGGGGCCTCAAAGTGAAAACTAATCCCAAGGAATAACTTTCGGCCCTGCTCCCGGGTGGGAGGATCCAGGCTATTTATTCCTCACCCTTAAGCCTCCGCAGTGGATCAGCGGCACAGTTGTTGCTGCTGGTGCAGGGTGGGCAGCAGCATCCGTCACGGTCCCTGCCTGCTCCCTGCCCTGCCTGCACGCTCCCAGCCGGCCTTGCTGCTAAATAAGGATGAAAGGCTAAAAATAGCGCTGGCTTGGACAAGCCAGGCAACCCTTCCCAAGGCTGGGAATGATATGGGGAGGCCAGCCAGTGTCAATGTGCGAGGGGGAGCAGAGCTGTCTATGGGAAGGGTCCCACAAATGGGTTCTAATCGTGCTGTGGTGGAGGTGGCGGGAGGTCTGAGACCTTCCACACTCATGTCCTATATGCTCAGTGCCCATTCCAGCTTTCCACAGGGAAAAAACCGCATCTGTTCACCAGAATATGTGGGAAAAGCCACCCTCCTGTGCTGTCTGTGGTGGCGGGGTACCCGTAGGGCCATTCCAGCATGATGGGGGGGGGGGGGGGGTTGGGGCAGCTCTGGCTTGAAAATGAGCACTGAAGGGGGAAGGTGGAAGAGAAGAGTATAAAATCTGAGATTTTGGATAAATGGGTGGTGGGTGCTGTGGCAAACTGCCCAGCCAAGGGCCACTCAATCCCAGGGTGCTCCCACCCCTTGCAGCACACACCATCATGTCTGGGGGCTCCGATATCTGTGCCGAGAGCTGGGGGGATATGAGGCGGTGGGAGGTGGTACCGACCCTTTGAATCCACCGAGGCTGGCGGTGGATGTCCCTGGGTGCCTGGGAAAGCGCATCTTCCCGTCCCAGCATCCCGGCGAATCCAGTCCTGCGCTTGGGAACAGAACCAGGGAAGGGGGGAAAAAAAAAAAAGGGGAAAGAGGAAGGGAAAATCTGAGCGTGCACAGGGGGAGGGCACCGAACGGGAGGTGGAGCAGCAGTCCCACCGCTCCGCTTCCGCGGCTGCCCCCGCCGGCCTCTGCTCTCGCCTCTCTCCTCCAACCCGCCCCGGTTTGCTTCCCCGCCGGCCGGGCCAGCTCTGCGTTGTCGGGATGCGGATGTCGGCGCTATCGCTGCTGCTGCTGCTGTGCGCGGTGCAGCTTTGTGCTGCCGCGCTCGGCAGCTCCCACCCGCAGCTGCTGGTGGAGCGGAGCGGGTCCCGCAGGCTGGGCAAGGTGAGAGACCCCCGACCCCTACCCTGCTCCTTGGGGGGGGTGGATGCGGGGAGCAGCCCCAGCAGTGCAGGGTGCGGGAGAGCTGCTGCACTCCGTCCTGGTGCGCTTTACAAGGGATCAACAGCGCTTTGGCGAGTGTCGTCCTTCTGCAAGGTCGATTTGGGGTGCGCGGCTGGGCTGGGGGTGGTGGGATCCCATGGACCTGACCGTGTGTGGGGGGACCATGGCTGCAGGTTTGGGGCGAGCCCCAGAGGGGATTTCAGGGCTGACAAACTGTTTGGAACCAGAAGGGTTTCGGGCCCAGCGGCCTCTTGCTTTGGCTGAGCTTCCCAGCACCTCGGGTTTCATTCCTCCTCTCGGTGAGGATTTTCTGGCTCACCAGCTCGGGCTGCTGCCTTCTCGTTCCCACGCAGCGCTGGGCCGGGCTCATCAACAGGAGCTGATTAAGATACAGCTGATTAAAACGCATGACTCTCACACGGTGAGAAGGGGAGCCTCTTTTACTTATTTTCCAGGAAAGCTGATGTTGCTCCGGGACAGAGGGAGCCGGTTAGGAAGGCTGGAGGGGCTCTGTGTCACAGCAGTCTGCATTGGCTCCTATGGAGTCTCTTTACCTGTGGGTGAGGGTCTCCCAGCTCTTGCTAAACGTCAGGGCGCAGCCTGCCCCTTGTCCTGGCTTGCCCTCAGCCCCGTCCTGCCCTGGGCTGGTGAGCAGGACGCAGGATGAGCTCCTGCCTGCAGTGCCCGCTGGGGCTGCCGCCTGGCACCAGGTAATTCAGCCTCCACCGGTTCTGCGGCTGCTGAGCAGGCAGGGAAAGCCCCACGGCATGGGGACACGGGCTGCCCCGGCCAAACCTGCTCGGGATGCCTCCTCCATCCCTGCCAGGAAAGCATCTGCCATTAGGCTGGAGCCTGCTCCGGGAGGGAGCCGGAGCTGGTCTCTCGCAGCAGGTTCAGGGGTGGATGTTGCAGGAGGGTGCTGGCATCCCCCTGCGTTGGAGCTTGGGTTGTGGGAGCAAAGGGCTCCGGTGATGTTGCCAGTGATGGCTGGAGAGGCTGGTGGGATTCAGAGGAAACGGGAGATCTCCCAGCATGGCTCCCAGCCCACCCAGAACACACAAGTGGTGTCCCCCCTCTCTGGGTTACATCCCCTGCATGTGGATTTTCATTATCCCACAGGACAATGCTGCTTCCCTGGCTCATTTAGACTGAAGCAGCTCAGGATCAGATTCATTCAGGCAGGGGCAAACCTCGCTCGTCTGTCCTCTGAGCATGAGTGGAGATGGAAACGTTAAGCCATCTTTAAAACACAACATGAGCATGATTCCTACTCCTGCATAGAACTAGGTGGCTGGAACTGGTGGATGAGGGCTTGCAACAGCCGGGCTGAGCTGGGAGTTTGTGCCAGCCCCACGGCCACCCCAAGGCACAGCATCCTGCTAGTTGAACACCCTGCTCTTGTTCCCCCTTGCTCTGTTGCCTTTGCTCTCTCACACCTTGCTCCATGCCATTGGCTTCTCACCTTGTTCATGTACAAAGTGTTTGGAGGCTGAGCTGAGGCACGTTTGGAGATTGCAGCCTGGGAGCCCCATTTAGGTGTGAAATACATGCAATGGGGCTGGACTGGGAGCTTCTGTGATGCCCTCAGGCTCAGAGAGGTGAGAGTGTGAGAAATGAAGAGGGAAAAGCTTATTTGGCATTCAAAGGGTGGCTGAAGGTCATTTTCTGGCTGTGTTTGTGAGTAGATGTTTCAGGGGGTCAAGACTCCAGCACTGGGGACACCTTGTGCAAACCCAGGTCAGGCCTCACCTTGGCTCTAACTCCTCCTGTCCCTTGGTGCTGCAGGTTGGTGGCTTTGCCTGGGAGAACTGCGGTGACAGGAGGGACCCCGTGGTGCTGCAGAGCCTCTCCGTGGCACCCGACCCCATCAGCATCCCAGGGAGTCTGCGTGTCAGTGCCGCCGTCAACAGCGGCAAGACCATGGCCTCCCCTCTGAAGGTACGTGATGGAGATGCTGCCGCAGGATGAGCTTCCCAAAACCACTGGCAGCTGGGAAATGCCCAGCAGTGGGTATGGGAATGAGCAGCCCTTGGGAGAATGAGGCATGGAATGGTGCGGGGCTGAGCACATCAGGCTCTGTAAGCCAGAATGGGGCAATGGGCACAAGGAGACCTGCAGTGGGAGCAGGCAGCCCAGTGGGAAGCTCCCAACCTTATCCTAGTGGGAGAAACCACTTGAGCTGTGTCATGCCCTGGGAGTAATGACTCAGGGAGGGAAAGGACACCCTGGGTGCTCCCAATGGTCACTGTTGCACTCGGTTTTGGGTGGCCAGGCTCAGCTGCTCCCTCCATGGACATGCCACGACCCCGCTGTGGGAGCCCTGGGTGCCCTGCGCTGCTTTTAGGGGACCTTTCGGAATGAGACGGGACATGTCTCTGCCCAAGGTGCATGAGCTGTCTTGAGCAATGCCACGGTGCATGTTTGGGGCTGGGGCCGTGGGGAGTGTGCTGTGGTTTTTGGGTAGGGCGTGGAGGAGGTGGGAAAGAGTGGGGCTGTGAGGTGCTGAGAGGTGTTTGCTCAAGAGGGCAAGCTGAGGTTAGAGGAAGAGAAACCTGCAGGCAGACAGGAACTGAAAACAGGAGGGGAGACAGGAGGGCTTGTGGTGGCCCCATGGACACCCCAAGGGCTGCACGAGCAGGAGCTGAAGGAGATCGCTGGGGAGGGGACAGGCTGAGGGAGCCATGGGTGCCCGTGCTGCCTGTACCAGTGCTGAACACCTTCCCTCCAGGCTGTGCTGGTGGTGGAGAAGGCGCTGGGAGACCTCTGGATCCAACTACCCTGCATTGACCAGCTGGGCAGCTGCACCTACAACGATGTCTGCACCATCCTGGACGAGCTCATCCCACCCGGCACAACATGCCCGGAGCCCCTGCTCACCTATGGCATCCCCTGCCACTGCCCCTTCAAAGCGGTATGTGGGGAACCCCCATTGGTGTGATGCTGGGTACCACCATGCCCTTTGGTGGGGGGCTGTGGGGCTCAGCTGATGTCTTCCCTACGATGTCCCCTCTCTCCATAGGGCTCTTACTCGCTGCCAGCCAGTGACTTCGTGCTGCCCGACATGGAGCTGCCTTCCTGGATGACCAACGGCAACTACCGCGTGCGGGCTGTTGTCAGCAATGGTGGGGAGGAGCTCGGCTGTGTCAAGCTGGCCTTCTCCCTGCAGTCCCAGTGAGGGGCAGGGGACCTCCTTCTGCTCCCCACCGTCCTGTCCCCTTCCATCCCATCCCGTTGCACCCCAACCCATCCCTGTGAGGCGCATCCTTCCTGCTGCCAGGAGGATGCAGCTCCATACCCCTGCTCGGTGCTCCTCTGGCTGGCCTGCTGCCCCCAACCCCATCACCGGGGTGTCCCCTGCACCACACAGGGTGGCCTTGGAGCCTAACCCTAGCCTTTCAGCACGACCTGGGGGTACTTGTCTTATACTGGGTTTCTCTTTTCCTTAATCCCATTAGGGTAATTTTAGACAGAAACATTCCAGGGAAAAGCAATATTTCTTGGAGCAGTCCCTGCGGAGGAGGGAGTGTTTGCGAGTGCTGGGGCAGGTTGGAGGGATGCAGGATTAGCTGTGGAGGGTGTCCCTGCTTGCCCCCACCACCTCTGGCCAGGGCTGGTTTGGTCCCTACAAAATAGGGGACAAAGGACAAGTCCCACTCATCTCGTTTTGCCACTGGGACTGAGCTGAACCATGACACTGCCCTGGGACCATCCTTCCAGTGCACCACAACATGGAGCAGGATCCCAGACATGGGACGGACTGAGATGACCATGAAGACCAGCAGCCTGGTTCCTATCTGGGGGCCCTGCAGCCCATCTCCTGGCTGTGGCTGGGTGCTGAGGTATGGGCAGGCAGCATCCTTCTTGCCTGCAGCTCCTGCCTGCCCATGCCAGGTCCCATGGTGACTCAACAGCCACCCTCATCCCTCGCTGTTCCTGCCTGCTTGCGTTATTTAGCCTCTCCATAGGGCTGGTCTTCCTCCAAGCACTTTATATGCCTTAACTACTGCCGGGCTGCCCCGGCGTGAGGTCCTCTGCCACACAGATGTTCTCCCATCACCTTTCTGTGCCCTCAACTCGCTTTGCTTCATCCTGCTGCTGGGTCCAATGGGGTTATTTTGCCTGGAGAAGCACTAACCCTCTCACCCCGCTCCCTACTGTCGTGCAGTGCCTGTGTCAGGGCTGCATCTTCCTTTTGGGTAGGTTCTTAATAAATCTTTTTATCAGGAAGCGGCGCTGGTGCCTTTTGGTGCTGGGGGTGTCCTGAGGGTGACATTTGTTTGCCTTGAAATAGCAGGGATGTGGTTTTGAGCATGTGGGGGAAGCAAAAGCAGTGTTGGGCCCGGGGTGGGGGCAGCAGTAGAGGGTGCTGAGGCCAGAAGAACTGAGTGTGAGCAGCCCTGAGGCTGGCTCCTGTGTGAGGGACACATGGGATCTGCAGGCGCTGCTTTTGGACACAAGGACTCAGTCCCTGTCCCCCTGGGTCTCTCTGGGGTGTTGCTTGCCTCAGTGACCCTCTCCCCAGCCTGCCTTGCTCTGTGGGGTTTAGAATCAGAATGAAAGAACAGCACCTGGACTGGACCTCGAAAGATCATCCAATCCAGCCTTTTTTGGGGGAAAGGGAGCCTAGGTGAGGTTATTTAGCACCCTGTGCAGTTGCATATGGAAAACCTGCAGTGAGCGGCACTCTGCCATGCCACAGAATCGTAGGTTCACGGAATAGTTTGGGTTGGAAGCGGGGGGATGCTCTTCGTGCCCACTGATTCAGCGCTCCCCCGTTAGCAGCTGCGCCCCTGCAATCCCCGCAGCGCCCACCAGGAGGCGCCGCAGTGCCCCCTCGCTCCGCCCCTCGCCTTCACCGCTCTCCGTGCGCAGGAGCGGGCTCTGCGGTCAGCTGATCCGGCTGTCACGTGACGAGGGAGCTGCCCGGCGGGGGCCCCGCGGCGAGGGGCGGAGGCGAGGTACGGGACCGGGACCGGGACCATGGGGCCGGTACCGATGGGGCCGGTACCGATGGGGCCGGTCCGCGGGAGGGCGCTGTCAGCATGCGGGTGCTCAGGGATGCGCGGAGGGGGGCCGGCAGCCCGCGGCGTGCGCAGGGATGCGGGGGGGGGATCCGGCGTCCCGCACGTGTGCGCGGGTCCCGGGGGTGCGCGCAGCCCGAGGGGGTGCTCCGGGGTGCAGCAGCGAGCTGGGGGGGTTGGGCGCGCTGATAGCACTCAGGGGGTCGCTGGCAGGCGTTATACACGGCAGGGTGTGTAGGGGGGGGCTTGGAGCCTGCGGGGTGCTGGCACCTTGCATGGGTGTGCGGTGGTCGCTGGGGTGCTGGCATCAGGTGTGGGTGCTCAGGTGTGTAGAAGTGCGCTGCAGCCTGCATGGGTGCTGGTAGTCTATGTATGTGACTGTGTGTGTGTATGCTCAGAGCCTGTGCGCATGTAGGGGCTGCTGGCAGCTTCCAGGTGTGCCTCAGGGTGCCCAGAGCTGACACGAGTGTGTGGGTCTGCCTAGATCCTGCATGGGTGTGAGGTGCTGTGTGGCACTGTGGACAGGGTGAGGTGCAGGGAGCCCTGTGCTCTGCAGGGTGCAGACATGCTGCTTTAAGAGGGTGCAGGGCTGGAGCTTTGAGACCAGGAGGTTTGTGCCAAGCAGGCTCCCTTGTGTCACAGCGAGATGGATTACAAGCAGCGCTCTGCGGGTTCAGCACGTGTGATGGGGAGCAGCAGGGAGTTCTGTCCTGCAGCTCATTTCTGGAGGATTTTGTGTCGCAGCCCCTGCTTAGCTGGGCAGAGCTGTCGGGGTCAGCAGCAAGTTGCATCTTGCTTTTGACTTGTGGCGTGGGGTTGTCGCTGTGAAGGACAAGTTGCTGTCACTTCCCTGCCCCAGCCTTCCTGAGTGGTTCAGTCACCGTAATGAAACAGCTCATGTTCATAAGTAGTGAAAATGCACATGGAAGTGGCCAAGGAGTTGGGTTTAAAGTGGAAACCGAATGTGGCTGCTCCTGTCTTTGCTCTTTGTAATGATGAGAAAATGTTGTGGGGTTTTGCTTCAGTTTGAAGCGTTTGTTGTGTGGACGAGACAAGTTTTGCAGCTTGACTGCGGGGGAGCTGAGTGCTCTCACCCTGCTGCTATGCAACCTTTAATCCAGACACAAGGCAAGTCACGGTGAGTGCGTTTCCCTGGCTCTTCAAAGCAAAAAGCTTGTGGGAAAAGAAAAACAAACCACGAGGAGCAATCAGGCAGATTGATGTGACTGGGTTTTGTCTGAGAGCATCGCTGTTGAGTGCTTCAGATAATGCACAGACCATCTCCAGGGAGGTGTATCCGTGCCTGACCCAACCCTGGCACCCCTCTGCCTGCTGCCCTTGCCCACTACCATTCCTTAATGCTTGGCAAAGCCTCCCAGGTCTCTCCCCTGCTCCTCTGGCTCGTCACCGATGACAAAGAGCATCTAACGCTTTCCTTGTATAAACTGACACCGCCGCTCTTCCCAGTGCCTGTCTCACCCTGCCCGCGGCAGAGCCGGTTCAGGACATGACTGCACGTCCTGGCTGCGAGGGAGGAGGCAGGCGGGAGTGCTGCCTGCGCTGCCCTCAGCCGCGAGCAGGCTCAGCGCTGTGGGGAGCCTGGTGCTGCGCAGGATGGAGCATCCCTGCTGCCTGCTCCGTGCTGCCTGGTGCTGCAGGAAATAAAGCAGCGTCCTGTGGGTGCTCGCGTGACCTGGCGGGTGCTGGAGGAGCCTCTGGCAGGAAACGAGCCCGTTTGTGGTAATATTTCCCTGCTGCTTCTGCTTGGCCCCAGCCTGGCTCCCCCATCAGCACAGGGGGACTGGGACTGCTGGGGCAGGGGGTGATGCCTTGGGCATGACACCCCAGGGGAGCCCTGGGGCAGGGACTGAGTCACCAGGCCATGGGGCAGGAGCCTGATAGATGATTTCCCTGCCTCTGGTGCTCCTTCCTAGTTGGCATTCAGGGTGCTGAGTGCTGCTGGGGGGTGGAGGAAGCAGAGGCTCTTGATGGGAGGCTGTGCAGAAGCAGCAGGAGCTCTTCAGGCCACGTGTGGGAATTAAACCAGCTGAAGGCAGGAGGCTTCCTTGGAGTGTCCTTGGTGGAGCTGGTGTGGGTGCTCCCGGCTTGCAGGATTCTGCTGGGGTGTTGCCTGGAGCAAGAGCTTAAACCATGACAGTTATGCAGGTGCCTCATCCCGGGAAGTCCATGATACACCTCTGTGGTTGTGAAACCTTGGGAGTGGGTGGTTTGCACACGGGCTGCGCTCCTGCCTGATGGAGCTCAATCAGTATTTTTTATTCTTTTTAATAAAAGGTCTCTAATTAAAAAGAAAAGTTGAGAAACTTTCCCTTCCCTGGCTCTCCCCTGTCCATCCTCTTGACAGCTCCAGTCCCAAGTCCCAGGGCTGCCAGCATGTCCCCCCTGCCTGTGGCTGTGTTGTCACACTCACCACCCTTAGAGCAGGGGGACACCGGCACCTTTACCTGACGTGAAGCAGATTGCATCCAGGCCCTTCCTGCAGGATCCTGAGCCTGTCTTTGCTGGGTGTGCCCAAAACAGGGGCACAGGCCTGCAGGAAGAGCCGGTGGGAATGCGCCATGCACCCTTGACCTTAGGACATGCCAGCTCCGTGATTGCCTGGGCGGGAGCGTGCTGCTCCATAAAAGCCCTGGAGGAGACCTTGCCCCGGCAGCACGAGCTGCTCTCTGCACCATGGCTGACCCCAAGGAGCCTGCAAAGGGGGGTGTTGAGCTGGGCACCCCTAATGCTGCCCCCTCCACAGGGACCATGTCCACCCGGCGCCTCCGCAGCGAGGACTACAACGACTACAACGACTACAGCTCCACGGATGTGACACCGGAGGGGAGCCCCCCCGGCGGCATCAATGGGTTTGCTCATCCTGAGTCCTACCAGCGCTTCGGGGAGACCAATGGGACCACGTGAGTGATGCTTCCCTCCTGCCCAGCACACGGAGAGGGTGGAGGAGGTGATGGCGGCTCCTTGTTGGCTTTGCTGGAGGGTGATGGCTTTATGGGGAGTCCTCCTGGGGATAGCGAGGGCAGAGTTGTGGTCCTGACTCCATGGAGTGCTGGCACCAAAGGAGCAGCTGCCCCAGTGTCACTCTGCTCTCCAGTAAAGCTGGGCTTGGCAGCAGCGGGCAGAGTTCAATGCTTTTCCCAATATTCCCCCACTCCATGTTGGTTCAATGGGGAGCTGTGTTGAGCAAACGTCATGTCCAGCTTCAGAGGACAAGTGGGCATGTTGCAGCCATGCCCTGGGGGCTTTCTTCTGCCTTATTCACCCAGGTGGGCAGAGGATGCTGTCTCTGACCCCTTCAACTCAGAGACTTGTGCTAAGCTCATGGTTGGGTTTTGCCTTGGAGCTGGTTTTGGAAATGCCCACCCAAAATCTGTTTGAGTC